CACAGTTTGTTATGATCTACACAGTCAAATGCCTTTGCATAGTCAATGAAGCACAGATAGACATTTCTCTGGTATTCCCTGCTTTTACCTAAGATCCATCTAACATTAGCTACAATATCCCTAGTACCACAACCCCTTGTAAACCTAGCCCGGACTTCTGGAAGTTACCTGCTGTGGTGGTGTTCCAGTCGTTTTTGGATAATCTTCAGTAGCATCTTGCTTGCATGTGAAATTAATGATATTGTTCTGTAGTTTCCATACTCTGTTGGGTCACCCTTCTTTGGGATGGGAACAAATATAGATCTCTTCCAGTCAGTTAGATTAATTTCATAAAGCTTGCTCAAATTGTAGAGACCAGGTAAGATAGTCCAAGCTATGGAGGTACTTGCTAGAGTCATGAAATTAGTGCTACTGTTGTTGTTACATGCCACTGAGTCAATTGCTACTCACAGTGACCTTCTGAACAACAGATCTGCACCCTGCCCTGTCCTGTACCGTCCTCACCATCTCTGACATATTTAGGACAAGGCTGTTGCTTTATGTAATAGTAATTAAATATTGGAGATTTAAAGCATTATATTACCAGAATATTAAATAAGGATGCCTAACACTTTGGGAGACATGAGAGCAATTATTTATAATTAGCAATAAAAAGAATTTACTGTGTGTTCTGCAATATTTCAAATATTTAACATGTATTCACATGTCTACCAATTATATTTAGGATGGCATTTTCTCACTGAGGGGGCTCTGGAGTCTGGTGGTAAGAAGCTGTGCTGCATCCCAGAAGCGTGAAGTCTGAATCCACCAGTTGCTCTACAGGAGAAGGATGGGCAATCTCCTCCCATGCGATTTACTGCCTCTGAGAACTCTCTGGAGGGTCAGCTATAAGTTGGTTCTGACTTGACAGGAAACAACAACTTCTCACCAAAGCCAATATCAGGAGCAGCCAAATAAAAGCAGATTATACCAGAGTAGGAAATAGAGCATATAGAAGAAAAGGTTCTGCGGGACACGAGTGTTAGATACTTTTTTCTTTACTTGGAACACCCTGTTCACTCTCTTTCAATTCAGCTTAAGTCTATCAAATGGCAGTCCCCAACCCTCCTAGGCAGCCCAAAGTGTCCTCTTTGTTCTTCGTGACATTAGCAAGCGTAGCACTATCATCAATTTCTACCAAACTACATTTGACAAAGGAGCTCTGATGGCCTAGCAGTAAGAAGCTGCTCTGCAATCCTGGAGGCACAGGGTTCAAATTCTGTCTCTCAAGATCTGCTGGTGGCATGTCAAGCTGGAATTCTGGGACAAACGTTCATGCTGTCCCCACACAGTGGCTGCACAACCTGCCTTAACAAAGCAACAGCTGTGAGGGTGCTGCAGGGCTGAGAGAGGGCTTTGTCCTACTGGACACAGGGCCACTCTGAGTCAGAACTGACTCAACGCCATCCAGCAACAACAATGTTCACGAGCAGGAAGAGAACAATTGACGATTTCTGCTAGCGATTTTACTTATTTATTTTTAGCGATTTTTAAAAGCTCAAAAATCCAAGATTAAGAAACCATGAGACTTGAGAGCTTGGGGGACAAAATTAAGGTTTTGTTCCTTTTCCTCTCCATCTCTGCCACTAAATATTTCTAAATAAGAAATTAAGGTGGAGAGGCCTAGCTGGTTCAAGTCAAAGACCAGAGGTCCTAATTGCCATGCTGGTACTCCTTACATTACACTGCCTTCATTGGCTCATTTAGAAATAGGCATTGTAGTACGAGTTTAATAAGTAACAGGAGATATAGCTGATCAAGGTCAAGGACCAAATTGTTTGTGCTTATACATAACCACTGTTCTAAGACCCTTACTGAGCTTTCTACATCAAGAAGGAATTAATACAGTCTTTCAACCAAGACAATCAACTATTGTACAGACTCAAAGGACCTCACATGGAGGACATGACATTTAAGTGCCATTCTGGGCACTGAGAACAAGACGTCAGATACTCCTAGTGGGTTTGTTGGAAGTTGCCAGCTTGGTTACCCTCTGTGACAGACAGAACTGCCTCGTAGGGTTTCCTAAGCTGCCGGCTTTCTGGGTGGTTGGACAGCATGATTCTAATGTGTTTTTACTTGTTGGAGGATCTTCTGTTAGAGGGAAATGGATGCTCCTATCAAGTTTTGCTGAGCACGTAGGTCTCTCAAGCTTTCTGTTGAGTCTTCCTATCACATTTTCCACATTTCTGATGCCTATCCTGGGAGGGGTTTGTGGTAGAGACAGAATATTGCAAACAACCCTGGGGAATGTTTTTACTTTTATCTCGTTCAAATGAATGTCTGAAAGTTCTACCAAGTGTACTGCTACTCTGATACATATGCTGATCTATCTCAGAAACACACTCTATCAAGATGTGTGATTAGTTTCTTTCCCTGGCCAACATTTCCAAAACTCCCTTTTAATAGGATATACGGAGGTGGAGATGCCATACTTTAACCATTCTGGAACGGAGAGGGAGGACTTATGGACAAGAGTTAGGACTTATGGATACTGGCACTCCTTGCACGCTCACCCACTCACAAGTGCCTAATTGTCTAGAGTCACTGGCCTTAGTACCTACTGCTGCTTCTTCTGAAACACCCTTCTCTTAGACCTACTTGCCTTTTGAGCTCGGTTTAAGTCCTTTCAGACTCTATATGTACTCAGAAAACTCTCATTGCCTTCCAATTGGAACCAACTCACAGCTGACGCTCCACTGCGTTTCCAAGGCTATAAATCATAGGAGAGACCATTACGCACCTTTCTTTCTCAGAGCCACTGGTGGATTGGAACTGCCAGAGAGGAACACCGTTTAGGTCTACAGCACAAATCCCTACAGATTCTGCCAGGAGCACTCCCTTCCACACGTACTAGGTACTGGGATATCCAATGGGCAGCTATAAGGTCATTTGAGACCAATGAGTAGACCTCTGTCATCATGTTAACTGTCCACTTGTTCCTGCTCTCTAGCTCTGCAGGTCTAGCATCTAGCCCACTCTCACTAGTTGGGGAGTTGGCACAATGCAGCCGTTAAGAGCACGAATTTTGCAGCTGGATGGATTGCCAAATTCAAGTCTTGACTTGATTACTTGACCTGTGTCTGTTTTTTAATCTGAGCTACAGTTTCCTGAATCATCAAATGAGAGTCACACTAAGAAGGAGGTGGGAAACATTAAGGAAACCCTGCATGGGGAGTGTTTAAGCGCTAATGAATGAGAGCTGTTACTTGCTAACCACAAGTGTAACGACAATTGTTAGGTGTGAGGTAGTCAAGTCAGAAATGGCACATAGCTGACCCTTCAGCAGGTTTTCTTAGGCAGTAATTTCATGAGAGGAGACTGCCTGTCTTTCTCTATGGAGCAGCTGATGGATTCAAACCAAGGGCCTTTGGGTTGGCAGTACAACTCCTTACCACTAGACCACCAGAGCTCCCTAATGACAATTGTTGTTGTGTATCAATCATCAAAGTAAAAACCGACTCATAGCATACTTTCCAGGGGATGGGTTGCAGCACAGTTTCTTGACACTAGGCCACCAGAGCGCTCTTAGGGAGATACAATTAGTTTTCTGCTCTTATCACTCCATTACACTGAGGAAAGGAGGAAGTTCTTACCACTTTTGGCATGGAGACAGGCGTTCAAAGACACTCTACACTTGAGGGTCATGTTGCATTGATTATCTGTTGCAAAACAGTTGTAGCACCGCAAACTGTAACCTAGAACCACAAAAAAGCTCCTTAGGACTTGTTAGAAGACTACAGATGTGCCATCTTGGCAGCAGTAGAAAGCTTCTCTATCTAGTAGTAGAAAGTTAAGGTTGGCAACCCCTGGGGCCTCCTCTGATCTCACACAATTTTGTAATGGAGAGACTTTACTAAGCTCCTATTGTAGTTCAGGCAACATATTATCCACTTTGACAAAAGCCTCATTTCCCATTTGATATAAGGAAATAGTCTCCACTTTGGAGACTGAGTGATGTGTCTGGACTCTGAAAGTTGGGAGCTCTACTTTTCGTTGAAGGTTGTGTGAAATGTTTGGTGGTTTGTTTGTTTATTTAAGCCTCTGTTCAGGGTCAACAAGACCTCGTGGAAGGCCCTTGTATTTAAAAGTCGGTTGGGCCCTCAGGCCTGTGGCCCTCAGTCCTCGTGCTATTACATTTTGGAGGAACATTCTTCTAAGTTGTACAGTACTCTTTTGTCAATTGGCTGCACTGAGGTAATCTGGGTTTGCTATGAGGCTGAACCTTGTGACACTGGGGGTCAAATGCCCTAACAGCTGCCCATGGTGAACAGTGTTTTTTGGAGCTCCCAGTTTAAGACTGGTTTGGAAACAGGAGTGGCATCCATTTTCTAAACCATATGCCTCAGGAAAGTCTATATATTTGGAGAAAAGACAATAGTTATATAAAGGCTCCAGGTCTTTTGTTCAAATGGTTTTAACGAGTCGTGCTCGATTCGACAGCAATCAACAACAACATGAGGAAACAAAATGTCTTCATATCAAAATGCAACTAAATGAGAAACTGAAGAGTGTCCTCTCAAATTCCAAAATAAAACAATTTATAGTTAAAAAAATAAGAGATAGTTAATGGCTGAGGTAATCTGGATAGTCTAGACTCATGTCCACTCCACACTAGTTTGTTTACTCACCTGTGTGGCAGAGAAGGGTCAGGATGACCAGAACCCCTATCAGAGCAAATGCGCCTAGATTTCCCATTGCAATTGTTCTAGGAAGAGGAGACATGAGACTGGTTATGAATAAGAAATTACGTCTAGCTTTTCCATAAAACCAAAAATTGAAAGACTTCAGAAAAAGGAATGTGGAAGGAATTAACAGTAAAAAAAAAAACATAGAAAATCTAAAAAACAAACAAACATAGAAAATCTGTCAGAGTAGACATTTTGAGCCAAGTTTTCGGGTAGATAGCACTTGATCCCTTCTTCTGACCTAAGATCTCACTGAAGAAAGTTCTACTGATTTTGGTGGGAAGGGCCCACTACAGAGCAATCAAGTACACTGGACACACGGTTAGAGACAGGTGGGCCTTACTCCAGGTCTAATTCACAGTAGCCACATATCCCTGAGTAAACTCAGCCCCTCCCAGTTTCAGTGGTCACTAGAAATAGCAACCTTCTTCATAGGGCTGCTCTGTCCAATGAGAATACAAGAAAAGTGCTCACCTCATCCAGAGCACAAAAGGTGAAGAAAATAAAACACAAAAGAGAGCAATTAGTCCAAAGGACTAATGGACCATGGGAACCTCAATCTTCATAACCCTAACACCCCAAAATTCTAGATGGTGCCCAGGTGTCCAGGTGCCCAGCTACCACTGCTGACCACTCTTGAAAGATTCACAGTAGAGGATGCTAGATAGTGTGGGAGTGTCAGGGCCTGGCTAACCTGCAAAGCAGGATCAGCGATGCATAGTAAAAACAGCAGGACCACTCATCTTGGCTTGACCATCCTTTCTACAGTAAACAACTCCAGAAAGCAGTATGCTAATGAATAAGGAGGGATCAAAGGCTTCAGAATTCTAGGAATGTGATACCTTCTTGTTTTCCAATAGATATCATAGGATATCCCGGAAGATGTCTTTGTTTTGTGTTGCCAGAATATTAAACTTGCTATTTGTCATCAGCAATTAGCCTCTCCACATCTTCATTTCAACCTGGTGCCTCCTTTTGGCGGAATTCCCCCGACATATTGGGGCTGGATCCCCGATATGGGAGGAAAATGTGGAGCAAATGAGAATTGTAAAATTAATATTAAAGCACACTGGTTTGATAGAGACTAAAGCCTTTAGTCACTCTACAGTCCTGAAATGTAGCTAACCCCCATGGCTAGACTTTAAGCGAAGGGCTAACAACAAAGGAGGTCAAGGCAGGGGAATTTTTAACCTGCTTAATGAGGATCCACGGTGGTACGTGCCTGAGCCGGAATTGACGCATAGCTGACTTTCCTGTGGGTTCTCAGAGTCAGTAAATCACATAACAGGAGATCTCTTCTCTTTCTCCCTTGGAGCATCTGGTAGATTTGAACTATGTACTTTTGGAACAGCAGTGCAGGTTCTTACCTCTAGGCCACAAGAGCACCCTACATGGTGGTGAAGTGGGTTATATGATGGGCTGCTAAATCCACCAGCTGCTCCATGAGGGAACACGGGCATGGACTGGACAACAGAGGATGCTTTTTACACACTAGCAAAGAACTTGGAAATTATTGCACAGTATCACACGTATGTAAAATCTTGCTGAAGATTTTAAAATGGCTATATTATTAAATCAAAAGTACGTCGACAAAGGATTGCCAGAATGGTGTGGGACTAAGCAAGACTCTGATATGTTGTTTACAGGTCACTACAAGACACAGTCTCCTGGACATCACCTAACAATAATATCTTACTCCAACAACACTATTACCACCACTACCACATGTGTAGATGTCCTGACCTAAATTAGACAAGCATATCGACTTCTTCTGGCCTCTGTATCTGATTCTCAGGGATTTTTCTGGCTATTCCCTGACCCTGATAAATGAAAGCACCGAGGTGTCTATCCTGATAGAGAAGGAATAGGTCCCGGACCTCTCCAGTCTGCGTCCTGACTGCCCTGCGATGTCTCTGCCCATAGGCAGACAAGGGAAATAAACAACAGCTGAACTCCCAGACTGTGATCCAGGCCCCCTTGGCCTAGGGCGCACACGGCCTCCTGCTGGGTGACTTACACTCAGGGTCTTCTGGGTAGAAAGGGTGACTCACAGTTAAAAACCCCAAAGATCTTGCTTCAAGTATTTCCATGGGAAGGGGAGGTAGAAGAGTGGAAGGGATGGGGTGGGAGAGTGAGAGAAAGAAAGGAAGAAAGGAAACTCATAGAGGAACATAGCTAAGGCTAGGTGCTGGGAAGAAGTCAGTTCTATAGGAACCTTTTACTCCAGAAGCACTCCTTTGGAAATTCCTTGACCTCAATAACCCCATTATAACAAAGTTACACACACACACACACACAGTTACTACACACAACATCAAAACTGGCCTGCTTAGAAAGGCTCATCTCTTACAAAAGTAGGGGCAAGTCAGTGAAAAGATTAAAAACACCGACTTTCAAATCCAATTTGAAGGCTGTGCTCAGCTTCTCACTCTGCCCCTTAGAGGCCATGAATGCTCAACCTTTGAGCCACCACTCTACCTAGTAAAAAAGGCATTGCTGTTGCGTTGGAACTGCCTCCCAGGTGACGCTCCGTTGCGTTTCTGAGGCTGTAGATTGTCCACCTTCTGCCTATGAAGCCAGTGGGGGATTCAAACTCCCAGAAAGGTGCAGCCTTTGGGTTATCAGGCTAATTCCCTTGGGACTCTCCCACCAGAGGTCCCTTTCATGTAGTAAACACGGGGATAATCACACTTACCACGTGGTGCAGAATGCATGGTATTACTGAGAAATAATAGCATTACCTATAAAAATAATTTGGGTGGTAAGGGGACCAGGTAGGCTGGATGGACAGAAGACACTGAAAGACAGAGAGATCCAGGGACCCCAGAAGAAGGCAATGCTTTCTCAGCTTGGGGACCAAGGGGGACAAATATTCAACGTCACACAGCTAGCTGGTGGTGGTCACAGCAATTGCTTCAATAAGTGACTGAAGGCAGGAAAAGGGTAGAAGGAAGACATGGCCAGTGTGTGAGGAGAAGGCTGAGGTGATGACTGACCATAGAAGGCTGGTACAAGGTCCTCTTTAAAAAGAATCCATATAAGGCTAAAAAAAAAAAGAATCCATATAAGGCTGGTCTCATCCTTGCTGCTAATTCAACAAGCAGGTGGTGCATCCAGCTAGGGTAATCAGCAGAACCACAGCTTTCTAACATCCTTCCCTAAGCTGATGTGGAGCATTTACATGTGACTTGTGAGTTTTCTTCCTTATTCCTTACTTCTTGCCCCAAGTTCCCTCAAATATTTTATAATAAACTGAGCATTGTTTTTAAAGCCAGGAATATCAAGACAAATCATGAATTACCAATGTTTCTTTCTTAGTAGCAAGATCTTCTCTCCTCTTTTGGTAAACCTATTTCAGAATTAGAAAAAGAAAACTGTCAACTCCTGGCTTGAAGTTCCTCCCCTGGTTTTATGGAGTTATACCCACAAAAGTTTTAAATTAAAAATTGATGCTGGGAAGTCCAGTGCAGACATGGTGGTTGATGAACCAAAAGTTCTCCCTGACTTCCCCAATCTATTCAAACCAAACTCACATATGCAAGACACATACAAAGGGCATTAAATCCTTTTTTAAGTATGTCAGGACTTGGCAAAATAATGGGTTTGTCCCTATAGAATATTGTAACACTCCAGTGCATCATAGGGAACTCATTTTCTGTGTTTGTAGTTTCTCCTTTCTTTTCAAAAATGCCCACCATCAAAAGCTAATTTGAGGCCATCTCCTCCTGTACCAGTCAGATCAAATTTGATGGTACACACACACACACACACACACACCCATAATAAAATAAAATTTAAAAAACCCAAAAAAACAAACAAACAAACAAAAAACCAAAAGCTAATTTGATAAGGTGTGCTTGTCCCTGAGAGTGAGCCCTGGTGGCATAGCAGATGAAACGTTTGGCTGTTCACCTCAAGGTTGGCAGTTTAAACCCACCAGCCATTGCATAGGGAAAAGATGAGGTAGCCTGATTCCATTAAGATTTACAGCTGCAGAGACATAGGAGGCAGGTCCAGTCTGTCCTAGAGAGTTGCGATGAAGCAGCACTAACACAATGAGAGTAGGAAAGGTCCCTGAATTTGTAAAATGTATGGACACTCTAGGGTGAGGTGCACAGGGAGTTGGGTTACTGACCCTGAGGCTGAGCTTCTCTAGCACCTCAAACCTCCTAGCAGTTCCAAGGGAGGAAGATGGACATTTTTCTCCCATGATGTCCAGCCTCTGAAACCCATTAGAGGGTCAGCTGTGAGTTGGTTCTGACTTTATGGCAATGAACCCTAGTTGAAGAATGAGCTAGGGGCCTGTTGGTGGAGCCAAGCGGGGGTGGGGGGGGTGGGGGGACTGCCATCCCCAGTCCCGCTCACATCGGTGGCGCTGAGGCAGCGCCTTGTTGTTGGGCCTCCAAGCTGCCAACTTCCCCGCTGAAAGCACCACATCTCGGAGGAGCTGCAGGGCCGGCTGCAGAGACAGGCTTTCAAGGACATCATCCTGCACTATTAACAAGTTACTGGGAAAGAATGATCTTCATTCAGTGTTAGCCCATAAGATACAAGCCAAAAACCATGACCTGCCAAACAGACATGAGATAAGCCCCGGACAGGAGGGCCCTGCAATGACGGTGAGCTTCAGGAGATGGCCCAGCTGAGGATCAAACACCAAAAGGAACCGACATAGATGCACAAGAAGTGTGGGGAGCTAGCTCAGCTCGTGATTGACCTGAATGACCAGAGCAGCAGAAGGACAAGGAGATGCAGACAAACAAAGCCAAAATCGCAGAGCTGGAGACGGAGTGCCAAGAGCTGAGCTACAAGCTCCAGGACCTGGAGATCGTCAACCAGAACCTGAGAAACTGAGGAAGACCACCGAGGACAACCAGGAGCTGGTCACCGGCTGGATGGCCGAGAAGGGCCCAGGAGGCCACCCACATGAATGCAGGGAAGGAGAAAGAGTCAGGCTTTGAGGAGGCGGCAGGACAGGCCTGTCTGCAGGAGGAGCTGTCAGAAGAGGTG